CAGACCACATCAACGCAGCCATAGCACCAAATGAAGAAAGCACCACGCATGCCGAGAAAACTCTTGCAAGTTTATCGCGACTGTCGTTTTCTTGGATGAGTTGATACAATGGAATTGTATCATCAATTTTTTCATTTGTGGTAACGTTTTTGAAGAATGTGGCGAATAGCGTGACGATTACTTCGTTTGGATTTGTGTTCGCAAATCGAAATGTTACATTTTGATCAAAAGAGTGACCAAGTATATATGAGTGCGGGACGACGCTTACGAAGGACATTATTACTAAAAGATCTAATTAAGAAAAGTGATTTTATGAAAGCACATACCATTAGGTTGATGTTAAAAATAAAAAATAACGCATACATACATAATGCACCAACTGCACCAACACTAGCAATGCTGGTACGAAAAAGATCCTTCTTTACATCCCGAGCTTCATCTAATTGATCTATTTATATTGAAAAATGAGTAAATGTTTGTAGATTTACAATATATAATTAAAAAAAGAATGTAAAGTAAATTTTTGCTCACAATTAATATTATTCCAACCTTCATAACAAAATAAAATCTGTATAAAATTAACATTAATCAATGCATCTATCATTATGCGCAAAATTATACAAAATATTAATTACTATTAAAAGAGCAGTCCCATAATCCGATACCGAGACCACATTATCTTCTCGTTGAGTAGACTTAAACGCGTCATGCCAATTAGAAGTATTACGCGCGAGTACAATGATGCCCATTAGTGTGACGACCATTAAAATCAACATTTTCACAATTGAGAGAGCTTGGTTTATTCGATTTGCAATTATATTTGAGTAGAGATGATAAGTGGTGGCGATTATTAAGGCCACTAGTGATATTCCACGAAGTCTCCTTTCAGATAGTATAATTTTGATTTTTATTACATGTTAAATAATATTTTTGATAAATCAAATCTTCATACCAAAATCTCCAATCTGTGAAATAATCTGGATGATAATCAACTTCATCTGAATTTTTAATTCCAAGAAACATAAACAAGAAGTACTGTGCCATAATATTGGACACAGCGACTATACTGCCTGGGCGAATTATAGTAATCATTGCGATACTGAATAAATAACTTAATAAACGATGTGGTTCCGGGAAGGCTTTTTCCAAGTATGCCTTCTCTGCACCAATTTCCGGAATCATAATCCCTAGCTGATAATTCAAGAAGTATCAATTCATTAATTCATCTTTAGTAAACATCTTAAGCAAACATATAAAAATTAATACTTTCTTCAGCGTAGATTAAAGACCCGCACATTGAAATAACAGCTCCTACAAAAAATAACAAAAAGGTCGCTCCTGACGACCCAGTTAACCGCCATACGACACCTGGCGTCGAGAATATCCCGCTGCCCACCATATTATTCACATTATTTCCAATACCTGCAAATAATCCAACCAATGGTACTTTATTCGTCGTTCTCGGTGATGTTTCATCTTTAAGACTATCCAATATCTGATCAGGTGCGGACATTGTACGTATCGGTATCAGTATAGATATTCGATTTGATTAACTTAAATTTACAAAGATTCAATATTAATATATACGTAGTTATCACAACACACGTATTTAAATATATCGATATGTTGATTAAATTTGAAAATCGATTTTAAAGACAAAATCGATTACGTAATAACGATTGGAAATCATGATTTACTTGTGAAAAACATGACTTTTACTTGTGAAAAACATGGCAAATATTACAACACATGACAAACTACTCTGTCATTCAATAAAAATGTTATTGATAATAACCAAGAAACTATTGCCAAGAACTCGCATAGTGATACTAATTCCAAATTTGAATGATATTTATGAAACAGATACAGATACAGAATCTCAATACTTCAACTACCTCCATACTATCTCTACGAATTCAACTAATCAAATAATCAAAGAACAACTTCAATTATTCCAACGAAATTGGAAATAAAGACCCGTTATGTCATTTCTGTCGTCGTTATTTCTGTCGTTGTCGTCATCATCGTCGTAATTTTTGCTCGAGAATCGATTTTGGGTCGGGAATCGATTCATCAAATTAAAATTGATTGATTGAATAATCGAAATAATTAATCGATTTTGAAATTGATTCTGGGTTGAGAATAGATTCCTGTCCTGACTACGCTAACTACGTAAATCTGTTAATAACGACAAGCTTACTATCGCTATCGCTATACACACAGTAATACGTACATGTGTCAATATTTTTTTTGGAAACCTCCAATATCGATATTTCTAATTCTTTCTATATACGTTCGTGTACATGTAGTGTTACACCAGTAACACTAAATCTTCTTTTAGAAACGCATTGATTTTTCTTTTTCCCTTTTTATTTCTTTATTTATGTCATTCAATTCTGATTACACCGCCGCAAATTACACCGCCAATTACACTTCGAATTACACCTCAATTTACACCGTAAATTCCACTGTAATTTCCACTGTAATTTCCACCGTAAATTCCACTGTAAATTACGTCGTAAATTCCACTGTAATTTACACCGTAAATTACATCATAAATTCCACCATAAATTACATCATAAATAGGAAAACCAAAAATGTATATAATGAGAGTGAGAAAGAGCAATTCAAAAAGAGAGGAGAATTGGCAATAAAGCAATAAAAACTTTAAAAATAATTACTTGCATACAATTAGTTCTTATAGTGCCTTTTCCTTCTCCATCCCAATAATCCATTGTTGTAAAAAGGGTTTGCCACTTTAATCCAGAAAAGTGAGATAATTGTTTTGACAACCGTAACGACTACGATTTAAAGGGTTTACGCTTTTGGCCCAGAAAAAGTGAATGTATTATTAACACGAGAACGAGACCTAACCGACGATTGAACACAACAATATCCGAAGATATTGGCACGGGACTTAGAAAAACTAATAATTAAAATAATCTTGATCTAATTCGTTTCTCCTACCCAAGTTACAGATTAGCCTCTAATTTCTATAATTGGCCACTAACCTGTAACAGTAGTACTGTGACGGGAATCTTGTGATTTGTTAGAAAGGGAAAGGGAAGGATTTTCCTATAAACGGTGGTTTTGGGAGAGCAAGAGTTTTAGTGTTGCCTGTGCCGATATCTACGAATATCGTATTTACGTTGGATTTCGGGTAAGCGCATGTTAACGTTAAGATGTTGATAATTTCTAAGCCTATTCGGTTTTCAATTAATTATAGCTATTATGCGTGTCTTAACCAAGATCGATTACCGTTGTCGATCTTCTAAACGTCGCCTTTTCTGGATCAAGGTCCTAACCGTCAATCAATTCAATCAATTACCACGAGGGAATTTATTTTACAAATCTTATTTTACTTGGAAACAACAACTCTATTTTTTTATTGAGGCCCGTAGACCTTTCTTATATACATTTTTTTTGAGTTTACATATTAGTGTTAAATTTTTTTATTACTACTACGATTAAGATAAAAAAAGAAAAATGTAATTTTGAGAGAAAAATAAAAAGCATTGGTTAAGAAAGTACGTAAGATATAATTCAAAAGAGAGATCGTAACAATTAAAAAGTAGATGCAAGACAAATTAACGAAAATGTTTTAAGAGAGAATATTATGTCATAATTAAAAAGAGATTAAACATTAACGAAAGAGATCCGTGATGAAAACCGAGGGTAAAAAGGAAAAATCGTAACAAAAATAAAAGAAGAATCATAGAATGTTTAAGAGAGAGATCCGTGACGAAAGAGAGAAAACCGTGATTAAAAAGGAAGATCGTAACCAAAATAAAAGAGATCGTCAGATAGAACATTTAAGAGAGAATCGTGATTAAAAAAAAATAATCAAGGTATAAATATGAGACGTTTACTTGAGAGAGAATACTGGACCTATAACGCGGCCCAACCAAACTATGAGGATCGTCAAGATGGTGTTGCAAGTGGAACAGTACATGTAATAAATTTGTCAAGGACGAACAGTTCAAACATAAACGAAAGTTCTATAATCGATCATTTTTATTTTTATAATCGTTATCATTATCATTATTATTGTCGTTATTATTATCGTTATCGTTATCGTTATCATTTTAAAGTTTTAAATAAACACAGGTCTAATTACTAAAGACATTTTATAAAGTGAACTCAAAGATAGAATCGAAACTTTCAAATACCCATGATTGTAGTAAATGTTCAAATGACTCGTCAAAAAAATATAACTTTTTTCTATTAATTGCTTCTTTGGGACGTTATCTTCTTTTCTTTGCTCGTTATTTTCAATGCTATTAAATACTTAACTAAAAATTTTTTTCACACCTGTTCTTTGCTCGAAAGTGATATTTTATCACTCGTGTTTGTTATGAGAATCTCTAAATTATCTATGTATATATCAAAGCGTTGTCCACTTGTAGGACTCCATCATAAGGAGAGAAGTTTCCATTTTTCTTCAGGACTTGGCTAGACAATGACAAAAGGTCTGGTGGACTGGTTTTTAGAGAGTGATTTCTTCTTTCAGCATTTTAAGGGAGAATAGCATTACTATTGGTAGTTGTGAATATCTCCAATCCATATCAGTTTGTTTTCTTGCAACCAGGCTTTTTTGATAACAGCAGTAATAATTATCTTGGTGATAGTTATTGAGGAGATAAAAAAAATATCTTCAAATCTTTGAATTATTATTATACTGCTTGAGAAAGTGGATTTTACTAGCCAAATCAAGACTACGACCATATATTAAAAGAAAAAAGACTGATTATGACTAATAAGAATGCATTCAGAAAATGAAAAATAATATTGATGAGGAATCTAATACCAGTTGATAGAGATAATCTATAGATAAGAGAATTCTTAAAATAATTAGTAATAACTAATAAAACTCTTGATATTATAAAACTAGAAGTGAAGTAGTCTCATCAGATTCTAATTTTAGATGATATTGACAGGATTTGTTCTCAGTATTATTATTTATAATCATTGATGAGAGAATAATGATCTTATTGTAGCTTGTCTTGCTATTTGCAAATAGATTCAAATGCATTTTCATTATTCTCACTAGATTCTAGTCATTTTAACTATCACCAAAGTGATTATTTTACTTAAAGTATTGTTTATGTTGCTATTGATTGGATTACTATTCATTAAGTTATTGCTATGTGCATAATTTTAATGCACAGAATAAAATATTGGATTCACAATTATGAAAACAATAAAATCAAATGGTATAGTATTAATATAATGAAATTAATATATAGAAAAAGAAGCAAGCTTAATTAATTATAATATAAAAAGTAATTCATTATACTAAAAAAAGCAGTTCTTTTAATTAATAATAATAAAATTACTAAATATTATAAAAATAAAATTTATTATTATTATTTATTTATTTAAAATATAATATTCATTAAATTTATATAATCTGTTAAATTATATATAAATTTTTCAACAAGACTTAAAAAAATTATCTATTTTTAATTTAAATATAATATATATAATTTAATATCTTTTTATATGCATTCTCTAATTCATTTTCTTTGTAATTTATCAATATTTTCTATTATATTATATGCTTATTTTAATTCTTTTAGCAAAGCTTTAACTTATTTTATATTTTTATGTATATATTTCTTTCTTATATATTAAACTAAATATTTAACTTTTTGTAAAATGACTTCTAATTCTTCTTTCAATATATTTGAATTCTTATTATTATCATTATATATTTTCTATATAGTAGAGCATTATTCTAATAAATCTGATTTGAAAGTATTATATTGGTATTCTTTAATAGTTCAAAGTAAATAATTTTGATTGCAGTAAAACTCATTATATATTAATCAGTTTTCAAGATTTGCTAACTGAATAAAATATTTACATATCAAAAAATAACTTAAAAAATACTGAACAACTACAAATTTATTAATTGCAATTAATAAAATATCTTTTATTAAGTTTATACTGATAGACTTGTTAGCACACTTTTTCTAATCATTTTTAAAATCTTTTTACCAATACGAAATTAATCTTGAACTTGTTAATTAGTAAAATTGAATAATTAATTTTTTATAAAGTATATAATGAATATAATTCAATTATAAATATTTAAATTAGTAAAGATAATTATGCTTAATAACTTTTTAATATATATTTATTATCATATTTTTTTTGCTAAAAGAGATTTTGAAATAGATACTTCTTGTTCAAATAATCCATTTATCAGAAATATATCGGAAAAATATATATTTAATTTGCTAAAAAAGATTTTAAAATAGATATTTCTTGTTCAAAGAATCTATTTGTAAAAAATATATCAAAAAAATTATATATAATTCCAAACTCAGGAATTATTTTATAAAATAGATAAATTTTTTTAATATATTAAGTTATATTGATCCCGCATTCGTGAAAGATATGAGAAACTTTAAACGCAACAAAATCCGATATTTACAGCCTCGGTATTTTTTTTGGGTTATCTCTAGCGGTTGTATTCCAAATTGGTATGTATTTGTTACAAATGAGAAAGAAAAGCCAATTTACGGAGCTCCTGATAAATACATTAAGTTATGTTGGGACAATTTTTCTGAAAACCGACCAGATATTAAGTGAATCATCTACTTAATGGACTCGAGTAGCCACCAGAATCAAACGACGTACTAAATTTTGATACGGATAAAGATTTAGCGTTAGCTGTTGAAGATGTAAATACGGATAAAGAGTGTTAAATTACAATCGTATTACAATTTATACAGTCAGCATTCTTTTGAAATCCAGAACTATTTGAAAAACAATGCTCAATATATGCTACTTTTGGGGTTTCTTTCTCAGACTGGAGTCATAGTTGAAAAGAATGTTCTATTAGCATTGAAAATTTACATAGAGTTATCAAGCGATAACAATTATTTAGTTCAATTCTTTCTAGGATATACTTATATAGAGGGAATCGGAACACAAAAATATGAGAAAAAAGCATCCGAGTGGTATTTGAAATCAGCAGAGTGTGGAAATGATTTTAGGACAAAATAACCTTAGTTTTTGTTATCGAAGTGGCATTGGAGTGCAAAAAGATGAGAAAAAAGCATTCGAGTATTATTTGAAATCAGCAGAGGGTGAAAATGCTATTGGACAATATAATCTTGGTGTTTGTTACCAAACTGGCATCGGAGTGCAAAAAGATGAGAAAAAAGCATTCGAGTGGTATTTGAAATCAGCAGAGGGTGGAAATGCTTTAGGACAACGCAAAATTGGTTCGTGTTATGTAGAAGGATTCGGTGTTTCTAAAAATTTTAGTAAAGCTATAGAATGCTATACAATTGCAGCTAAAAACGATGGTTACGCAAAAGATAGATGAAATTCCTAAATATAAATTAATTCTTTCAGCTCTTTAATTTTAAGTAACTTTTGTTTGAGAGAAATTTGGAAGGACAATATTTTTCAAAAAAATTTAAAAAGAATTTTTATGAATGTAGATGGACATGGGTTTGGAACCGAATTTGGCCTTCGGATTTAAATTCAAACGCAAATATGAAATTTAATTAACACGAAGTCTGGTTTTAATAAAACGGTGATATTCGAATATATATTACAATAATAAAAACAGATCCAACTTGGGGATTATTTGACTACAATCTACTGATATAAGATCAACCTCAATATCCGACAAATAAAATTACTTGTTTTATACTTAATAGTAAAATATGACTTTGTAACAATGTACAATGGCACTTTCTCGTTCGTCTTCTCCGGCGCCATCTTTCGAACTTGATCTTAATAAACTAAATTCTTCAAATTCTGAGACTGAATCCTCAACTACCACCTTTCATTTGATAATCACAAAAAACATCAGGAAAAAGTAACATTGGTGATAGGGCTAACAAAAGTCAAGTGAAATCTTGTTGGTCGCAAGAAATATTCCATTTGCAAATGGATCTGACCGTATACAACAACAAATCCACGCTGAATTTCTTTTAAAGAATTTATATATTCAGCTTAAACAATATATTTTCAGGACAAGCTGAAGAAACAATATCGACTTCAACGGGTTTAACTAATGAGGAGGACGCTATATTTGTGAAAATGTGGGCCAACAATTGATCAGAAGATTTAACACAAACCGAAGAAGATATCCTGAAAGAACAAAAAACCGATCCATTAGTCTGGTGGCGAGAACATAAAGCAAGTTTTTTTATTTTATCACAATTGGCCTGTAAATACAGTGACGCTCGAAAGTAATACATCACTGAAATGAAAAAATAAGTCAATTTTTGGTAGTATAAACACCAGACATATGAAATGCAGCACATATCGATATATAGTTTAAAGCCTAAATAAACTGCTCACGTAATTTAAAGAATAAATGTAACACCACTTTATTTACATGTACATGTATTTGGTCTTTATTTACGTCAAACCAGCGATGCATTTCTTTTGATCGTTCCCCCTCAAAAATAAAGTAATATAGACACATAAAAAAAAACAGCAAAATAATAACACACCCTATATATAAAATACGCCTAAGAATATACTCTTTTATCCCATATCATTCAGATTTATACCCTTCTTCAAGAAGGATTCCTCTCGTTTTATTGCAAACCGTGAAAATATTTCCCAATCCACCGTCATAAGAATAAGGCAAAAAAAGATACTCATGATTTACCGAAACCAGGTCTTAGAATTTTTACTGGTTGCGACAAAAGATCATACGTTAATTTCGAATGGTGATTGTTCTACTGCAGTTTTCATCCAAAAAAAAAAAACTGAAACCTGAAAACAAAATCTAAGTCAGCGCAAGCACAATAAAGCGAACTTTATATAACAATGATCTTTCTTCACGAATTAAGCGAAAGAAACCATATCTTAGGAAAACACATCGGATTCAACGTTTGAATTTCGCAAAAAAACATCAACACTGGACAATTAATGACTGGAGTAAAGTTATCTGGTCCACGAATAAACATTATGATTTTTAATTCGGATGGACGTGAATATTACTGGAAACGTGATAATGAACCACTAAAAGAGCACCATGTGAAACCTACAGTAAAACTTGGGGGTGTGAATATGGTTTGGGTTGCTTTTCATTCTTTGGCGTTGGTAATTTTTTACAAAATTAAATCATCTTGACATTTCATATTAATTAAATTGTTTCGAATATTAGGCTCTACAAGTGTCGATTGGTATGTTCCAAACGATGGTAAAATTGCTTGTTTGTTTTTTCTATTTTTTTCCTTGTTGTAAAATAAATATCGATTTTATTAGTATACCACATGGAATGAGTGTCTTTCAATAAAAACCACAAATTCACGATGAACACTTCAAATGACAATGTTGTAAGAAGAAAATTTACTTCTAGTAAAGAAGTTTATCCATTTTATAAAATACAAACGTTTGATGACTTTAGATTTTATGCACAATATGGATAATGTCATTAAAAACATTTACATTTTAATTTGATTTATAACGACAATTCAATTATATCGTTTCGCCTATCAAGTACATTTGCGAAATCGTCGTTTACTTGCTACTAGGGATGTTATCGGTTTATTTACCTGATTGAAACCACCAATGTTTATATAATTATCCCTCCTTTAACCTTCTAATCAAAATTAATTAGAGTAAAATTTGAAAGTAAGTTACTTATTACAAAAAATATAATTATTTTTGTAGAAATTAGTAATTTCATTTAAACCATCAGTTTGAACCACGGTTTGTACCGCATGATTTGAGGTAGTTTTAATAAAATTACTAATGTTTGATATCATTATTTTGTAAACTTACTAAATAGAATATAGTAAATTAAGTTATTTAGTAAAAAATTATTAAAGAAAATTACTAATTTTTCTTGAACCATTTCAAACCAAATAAACCGCAAAACATCCCTACTTACTGGAGATGTTACGATCCGTCTCAGTTCGTCCATGGACCAATTTTTATGTCCAGACTGTGGATCCAGTCTGGATCACGGTCTGCTAATTATAGTTATTAAATGATAAATGATATATAACTCTAACTGCTTTATTAAATAGTTCCGAATAATAAATTTCATATCGATATTATTGTTATATTTAATGCTAATTAACAACATACATATAATTCTGAAATATCGATATTGATATTATAACTCACTTTTCATCCACTCCAATATCAATCCAGCTCTTGATACATAAACATGCTCTTTCTGTACCGTTACCGTTACTGTGTTTTATTTTATGATGTTTAGCTATCTCCAACTTGTGTAATACTTTAATTCATATGATATTGATGCGTACCATCGGTCATATCGGTCCCAGACCACGGACCCAGTACCAGTCGGTAATATCCTGTTATGCATGGCGTAATACATGATTACGGGTTAACTTAAAAAAGAGCTATTTGTAATAACGATAGTAAATAATAAAAGTTCTGTCATAAAAGGCATCGTTTATGCATAGAAATCAGTCAAAGTACATGTACATGTACACACCAATATCGATTTTATTGGTCGTACTAAAAGCATGTCGTGGACGTAACAAGAATAAAATGGATTTTTATTCTTATCCCTTTTTCAAAGAAATTTTCTACATCGGAAATACAGATTTCAGATACTCATTTATTCGTGGACTACCAATTAAACGAAAAACGGTGCTATTACTATTTACCATCAGAACAACAATAAACATATCATGAAATTAGTGTAGTGATCTTGTTTTATCATCGATCGAATACAGTCTATCAATAGGGATTCCTTGATTCCCATCATCGTACTAACGCTAATGGAATACTAAATTCAGTTGGCAGTATGGCCTTGCTTGATAAACTGAAATATAATTACGTAAAGCTGTTACTGATAAAATATATTTATGAAAGTTAAAAACAAGTAACATGGTATTTTTATCAGTGCTTAACGTTAACGCAGAAATCAACTTCCACAAATACAATTCTGTCGATTATTTATCCTAGTGTTCGTAACCATCCTAAAATTACATGTATTAACAAACTAAAAATAAAGTATCGAATATGTAGCTATATTGGTGCAATTAATATTTTACTTTGTTGACTATTTCTTTATATAATCTATTATTTAGTTCAACCACCGTTAGAGTTGGGAAGAATAACGATAACAGCCTGAATATTTTGACGATCTGGAATTAGCCGACGTCCAGTTTGTTTTTTAGGGGAGAAAGAACCAGCATTCCGGAGAGGTTTTAATACTTGATAAACTGCATCCAAAGTTATTGGCAATTGTGCGATAAGATTGACCACAATCGTGACCATAAATCATGGCACTGCATTTTTTTAAAGGAAAGAAAACGAATTTTCAAAACCAACGATATTATAACTTCAAAAAGTCTACGGCAATATGGTCTCAAAAATTTCAATACCGAAGGTGCATTTCAATATTATGATGTCAGATGCATCCATAGGCTATTTTTAAATTGGTTCTGATTATTACAATATTGATAAAGATAATTTCATTCAGGGATAGTAATAATATAATTCGTATATGAAGTAAATTTGGTTATAAACGATAAACTAGCAATCACACAAATTATTAATGCAAAATTATAGGAACTACTGTGGAATTATTGCATTTGTTTCTGATTCATTCCTGTTAATTTCAGAGTAGTTCCGTATTGTTTCTGATGAAATTATTCAGTTTTTCAATAGTGCTACGAATCAAATATATAAAGAACTTATTCGCTTTTTTTCCGAAAGCTAAAAATTATGTAATTATTCCTTTATATTTAGTTTATAGGTGATTGTTGTGTTCTTGATTCTCAAACGATTCATTATTGCCGGATATGTTTCCAGATCAACACGCGGTTTATAAATCCGAGTGCATGGCCCTGGTTTGAAAAATCCAGAACTGAATCCAGTTCTAATTTCAAACTTCTGTATCAGAGATAACATTACTCTCTTCATATTTACTTTCCGTTTCTACTTCGCTATCCTGTTTCTCAGGTTCTAAAGACAGTGAATGTGCATATCCACGAGACATCCATACGTAATATTTCCAGTACCACGCAGTAACAGCTAAACCAATCACACATATAGAAATGACATAAGGTAATTCACTTGATTCTTTGGTGAAGGGTGCGATTAGAATTAAAGCAATCATGAGAAGGAAGGCGTAGACCACTGGTTTTGGGACTGGAGTTGGTCGATCTAGTCCCGGTTCAATGTATCGCAGATGCTTTGTTGATTATACAATGTATTTTTAGATATCGATATTGAATTTAAAAAATTAACATTGATAAAATTGATTTTACCAGTAAGCCAACTGATGCAGCGCCATAACCAATTAAAATTGTGTATTGCGATAACGAAACTAAAAACGTAAAAGGGTCCGTAGTCGGCGCCAGAATAATAATAATCGCACACCAAATCATTTGTGCAACTATTTTGATAAATCAAAATACATGTAC